CGAAGCATCCCTGCAGCCCACCCTCCCCTTCCACCCAACCCTCTCCAGTCGTCGCCACCCCGCGCGGCGCTTGACACCCCCGTGATGAGTAACTTTATTATGAGTAAACTGTTTACCTATCGCCTGGTCGGGTGCGTTGGGTCTGGTGTCGCTCGGTGCATTGATTGGGGGAAGAAAGACAGACTGACCAGTCTGCGTTACTTTTCTAGCTGGATCATCAAATTTATTTCTAACCTGCATTTAAATGATCAACCTGTAAAATTTTATTACCAGCACAGAATACACTAATGAATGGTGCCAGATAGCACAAGAGCCGTAAACTATTACTTCCTTTCTGCTTATAGGGCTCCTGTTATGACAAACCTTTATTGGCCATTTGTGGCACAACATAAACCGCCCCGAGCCGGGGCTGGGCTTTCTCTCCATCTTCTGCAGCTGGAAGGATGGCGACTGTTCTAGCTAGGCGAGGAAGTTTCAGGGGCATTTTGATTGACCAGTGCGCTGTTTTCAATGACACGCTCTGCATTTTGAGACAGTGGATAGGAACCAAAGGACCTTTTGCTTCACTAAAGCAGAAACTGATAAAAAATGGCCTTTTCCTGCCGTCGGTAAGCCGGGATAGGAGCGAGATGATACAGATATCTCACACATGGAATGTTAATGCGCAAGAGCATCCTGGTGTGAACAGCCTGGCTGCACAGGCAGCATCCCTCCAGAGCATCGGGGGGGTGCTGATGGCAAGGGACGGTGAACACGAACGTACTGCCCGCTCTCAGCCCTGCTCGCCGCAGCCGCGGGCACCCGGCGCTGCAGCTCCCCCAGAGCTGCGGCCGGAGCTTGGTCCGTTCCCGGGCACGCGTACGCACGTCTGTGTGCATTATTGCGTGCAGGCACGTGTGTCCGCGGCCACTGCCAGATGCTGGCCCTTCACGTCGTCTCCACCAGAGGCAGGTACTGGGGGAGGACCGTGAGCAGGCGCCTTCAGCATCGCCCTTGCGAAGCCTCGCCAAGCAGCA